CGGCTTTTTTCAGCCCAAAAAGTGGGCTGAAAAACTCGGCTTATACTCGAGTATATACGGTATATGTTTGAAACCTGTATTTAAGAGATGTAAGGATTATTAATTTAATATAATTGATTTGCTTTAAACCAGTTAAGAAATATGCAATATATATTTTTGACAAATCAAATTCTGTAACTTAAACCAAACTATTTTGAAAAACCTACTGAAATGTATGTATTAATGGATATTAAAATATTTTACTGCAAATAATCTGCATTGCACTCATAAAAAGAAAGCAGCTCACATTCTCTGGTCTTGATTTAAGTCATAAAAACAGATTTATATTTAACCAGTATGTAATATTGGTTCTTCACTGGCACAAAATCTTTGTCAGTTCTGTGTTTGCAAGGTCGGTCTGATCCTTATTCAGTTCACATTTGAAAAGTTTATATAAGTTTACTTTTTTATTTAGAAATGTATACTGCCTCTGGCATGCCCCCTGGAAAACTTATATTTCTAAAAATAATAGTAAGACTAGGATTCCCTTATAATTTCTAAAATTTATTTTCAGTTTCTATGCTTTCTTTCTATTTATTGCAATGTTTATTGCAAAATCAAGGTAGTACAGAATTCAAAAATGCCACAAATGCAAGAAAAAAATGCAGTCAAAAAGATAAAATCAAAATTAAAACCAGCAATTAAAATAAGTAGCAAGTAGAGAGCCAATTTTGTCTAGTGCCTAAGGTTTACTACACTATAAACCAAGAGACTGTCTTAGGCATAAAAGCCAGCTAGATGATCTCTCTCAGACCACGATGTCAAACTTAAGTAACAAGTTAATCATTCAATTCCTATCACAACCAATGATGAACATTTGATTTATCCAAAAATAAACCCTTCTCTTGTGGGAAAATATTAAGAAGGAAAAAATTAGCATAAATATCATTGAGTGGTAAAAGACATGTGTTCTCACCATGTTCCTAACTACTGGAAACTACTTAGAAAATATACTGCATAACCCAGAGACCACATAGGAACCATAGTCATTTTTACCTTGCTTAATAAGTTTTGCAAGATACTACAATTCTATACAATGAAACATCTTAATAAATCAAATACTTTTTTCAAACTCTTACCTAGAAGTAACATAACAAGATTCAGTAAGATTTGTGTTGAATTAGACTACTGATGTATCCTGGAATATTTTTAGTGCCTATTTTCAAATGGGAAGCATCATAAATTTTATTACTAGAAGGAAACAGGAGCCTGTGTAGGATACCATTTGCAGTACAAATTGTGGTATGTAGTTTAAGAAATTTTAATGGAGAGCATATAATAATTTCATTCTTTCAAGAATTTCAAGAAATAAATTAAAGGAAACCTTTCCTGATATATATCCACAGTATAGATCAGATACTTATGCCAAGATGACATGTATAATATATAAAAAGAAAATTGCCAGAGTATAATACACCAAATATGCATATTCTCCTTCCATGTTTTTGCTAGCATATAAAAATATGTGTGTACATATTTTCCATAAAATATTAATTATAGAGTAAAAAAACTTAAGCAAATAAATGAATTTGTACACATTGGTAGAATGTTCACTAAAAATGGAAAAATTGATACAGTATTTTAAGCCAGGCAAATGTTGATATAAAAGTAGTGGATGATAAATTGTCTGTTGGGAGAAATGAATGTTGCTGGGAAAGGTGGAAAAAGCTATGAATATGAGTATACTTCTGCCCATATTATTACATGGACAATGAGAGTAGGATATGTCAACAAAATTCCATAAAAGTGAGTTCAGTGGGATCATTAAGAAGCATGTGTAGTAAAAAAAGAAGAAAGGGTCAAATGTGAATGAGTGCTAAATTCATATGGACTGAAGACAAAGATGAGTGACCAGCACAACATAAGTCCCTTAGGGTGCTTTAATCCCATAGAGAGAATGAATGCGGATTTACAAAAGAGAAAAGAATAAATCATAAAACAAAGATATGAACAAAAAATGAATGGATTAAGAAGAAGGGGAAGATCAAAATATTCTTCTTAGTTGAATGATGTTGATAACATCTTCAAAAACAAGACAAGTGAGAAGTTTAATGAACAAATGATACCATGTCATAGTGAACATGACAGTTGTGTATGAGAATAAAAAGAAAGGCAAAGGTATAGCGATCGATGTTGATGGAAACGTTTTCTTTTCCTTTTTCTTATTTCATGACTTTAATTTGTTTGGCTTATTATATCTCATTTCTTTTTTATATCATATAAAGTTGCTTACCCAAAAGAGAAGGAGCATGTGGATATAGATGTATGGATAGTTTTGGCGGTTTATTTCAACTGCAAATATTTGTGTATTCTGTATTTCAGCTCCATCTAGTCGAAAACCAGGGGATCCTCTTGTTATTTCAGATATTAAGAAGGGAAGTGTTGCCCATAGGTGAGTGCTTACAAGGTGACAAAGATTATGTTGCCTGCTCACATTTTTCAAACTCTCTGGATTTTTAAATGTTCTGCAATTGTAAAAGCAAATGCTTCCCTTGGTATAAAATGCTTTTATGTGCTACCTCATATATGTAAAACAAAAATCATTTTCATTCTTAAACTTAACATATTATCATTATTTGCATGAATATACAAATCAGCTTGTTCAAAACATTAATCACATAATGTATTCCACTTATTAATAGAACTGGGACGTTGGAACTAGGTGATAAATTGCTTGCCATAGACAATATTCGACTGGACAACTGTTCCATGGAAGATGCTGTTCAAATCCTGCAGCATTGTGAGGAACTTGTAAAACTAAAAATTCGCAAGGATGAAGATAACTCTGGTATTCACAGTGAGATATGAAACATTTTATGTGTATAAAAATGCCTTTGAGATGTAATATTAGTAAAATATTAAATGCAGAAAGTATTCATAATATGAATGATAATTTAGTACAAGCCAATGGCTTTGATGTCCCTGTCCTGTCAGATTAATTTGTCATTAATTTCTGACAAATGTGGAAAGTCACTTGGCTTGGTTCATGTATATTTATCACAATGCCAGTTCAATACCTAGAGAAATGTTATACCGCAATATCTTGTCTCAAAAATTTCTTTTAAAAAATGACTGTTTTAGAAGACATTTACTCAGATCCTCCCCCATATATACACATGTATAAACATACACACATAATTATTTATCTCCCTGTCACCGGAGTATAAAACGCACCAAGATTTTGAAGAGGCAAATAAAAAAGGGGGGGGGGGTTGCACTCGCGAAAATGGCCCTGTTTTTTGTCAAAAAGAAAAAGGACATGCATAGCCTTTAGGAGGCTTGTAGAGTGCTCCTGGGGGCTGGAGGGGAAAATTGAGCAAAAAAGCAGCCCATTTTTTGCTCATTTCTGCCCTCTCCAGCCCCCAGGAGCACTCTGCAAGGCTCCTAAAAGCTATGCACAGCCATTTTGGGGAAGGAGGTGGGTTTTGGGAGGCAAAAAATGCTGTATTCAGGGTATAAGATGCACCCAGATTTTCAGCCTCTTTTTTGAAAGAAAAAGGTGTGTCTTATGATCTGAAAAATATGGTAGCTTCATATTTGAATATATTGGAATAAATAGGTGGATACAAGATTGTGAAATAGGGAATAATTGAATCTACAATAATCTAATATGTATGTTGTATTAGTTTTAAGATTTTTTTTAATTGAAAGACTTTTTCAGAAATAAATAAATTCAGAGTAGTAAGATTATGCAAGATCACATTATCTTTCACTGTCATAAAAAAGATTGATGAGGTATTTCAACAAAAATTTTCTTCATAATGCAATATTTTTTTTAAAATCAAATAATACATGCATACAAGCAGTCCTCAACTCATGACCGATCCCAACAGCTATTCGCAATCTAATTTTGATCTTACGACAGACACACACAGGCACACACACACACCATGATCATGTGTTTGCATTTTGAGTACTTGGCAACTAGTTCAGCTTTATGGCTATTTGCAACATCCCACAGTCATGCAATTTCAATGTTTTTTTGCCAGTTTTTGCCACATTTACTTATGGTAAAAAAAAAAACTTGGATAAAATGAATTAATTTAATAAACACAGGGTTCACTTAACACCATGGTATTCATTTAACAACTGTGATGCTCTTAATCAGAGGTGGGTTCCTATCCGTTTGGAGTGGTTCGGCTGAACCAGTAGTGGTTTGCCGGCCTGGGTCACTGGAACCAGCAGCAACCCAGGCCTGCCCTGCCTCCAAACCAGTTCCCCAGTTGACGGAGCATATGTTGTTTCTTTTCATTTTTTAATGTTCTGCGCATGTGCGGACCTATTTTGCGGCAACTGCGCACATGCACAGAGCACATGTCTGGCACACAAAATTGTGCATGTGCCAAAAGGCAGTAATGTGGGCAGCAACCCACCCCTGCCCTTAATGACCACTTCAAAAAATGTCATAAAGTCAAGTCCAGTCATGTAGTGACCCACCTAACAATCACACTGACTTACAACCATAATTCCATAATTCACTGTCATAAGTCAAGGACTTCAATCACCCATACACTAGAGACATACATGAAGGCACTTAACACACTGAAATGGAAAAATTAATAAAAATGGAAATCAATATCTGAATTAAATTGATCTTAATTGTATTCTCCTTACCGTAGATAAAAAAATTGTAAACCATTTTCAAATCATATATGAACCAGAAGCACTGATAGAGCTTCATATAGAGAAACAAACACTAACAAAGATTCTTACCCAAAGTATATCAGGATTATTGTTGTTGAAATCTGCTTTTATCCCAATTTTCAAAATAACAAGAAAAGATAGTGAACTGAGTCCAGTTCTGATGCTGAAATTAAAACTGGTGTTCAAGTAGCAATGGCTGACACGTTTCACTCAGCTTTATATTAAATTGTACTAAAGGAGTGTTGGATGTGTTTATGGAAAATAGCAATAGCACTTAGATTTATATATCGCTTCATAGTGCTTTACAGCTTTCTGTAAGTGGTTTTACAGCATCAGCATATTGTCCCCAGCAATTTGGGTCCTCATTTTACCAACCTCAGAAGGATGGAAGGCTAAGTCAAACTTGAGCCTGGTGAGATTTGAATTGCCAAATTGCAGGCAGCCGGCAGGCATTAAAAATAGCTTGTTGTACTCCATTCTAACCACTGCACCACCACGGCTCAAGATCTTTGCTTTAACTTCTTAAGGGCACTTAGTTACTTTTACTGAGATCCTGCACTGCCCCATAATCTAGATGTGATTATCACCCTGATTATGAATCATCAGATCTAGAAAGAAATTGTATATATTTTTACAGATATATTAGGTTTCAAATCCTATCTTTGCTTCCATGAAAATGGAAGGAGATTTGCTGGTGTGCCTGTGACCTCACCTGTAGTCATCAACATAGAAGGCAGTAGTAGCTTAGATATGTGTCTGAAGCATAACAGTTTGAGGATTTGTATGCTGATCATTTTTCTGAATGTATTATTTTTTTCATTCCTTCTTTTATAAGAGACCAATTGCATCCTCTTGGCATGTATTGCAGATGAACAAGAGAGCTCAGGGGCAATTATTTATACTGTTGAGCTCAAGAGATATGGAGGACCTCTTGGGATCACTATTTCTGGTACTGAAGAGCCTTTTGATCCTATTATCATTTCGAGTCTTACTAAAGGTGGATTAGCTGAAAGGTAAATTGACATAAAAGTATTTGTAATCATTCAACCGATGTAATAATTTTTAGATATAGATTTTTTACAAGTATCACAAATGAAATAATTACCTTTAGTCTTTTTCTCTTGATATATATTATGAGACAGTGGTTGAATTCAATTTTTTTTACTACTAGTTCTGTGGGTGTGGCTTGGTGGGTGTGGCAGGGGAAGGATACTGCAAAATCTCCATTTCCTCCCGATCAGCTGGAACTCAGGACGCAGAGAATAGATGGGGGCAGGGCCAGTCAGAGGTGGTATTTACCAGTTCTCCGAACAACTCAAAATGTCGGCTGCCGGTTCTCCAGAACTGGTCAGAACCTGCTGAATACCACCTCTGTTATGATATGAAGATGGTGATGATAATGGTGATGGCAACAATGATGATGAAGTATCTTGCTGAGTTGACAAGAAAACTAAAGGAAACTAAAGCACACTAGTCGCGTTCCCTCCCCCTCTCCCCCTCTCTCTCTTAGAGAAAGAGAGGGACCGGAAGGGGGGGGGCAAGTATATAAATAAGTGCCTTTCTATCTTGGCAAACCATCCTTGCTTCTACCATCCATATATAACATCATGTCTTTGTTCTTTACATATTTCATTTCTCCCTTTTTAAATTCCATCTAACATGACTTTCTCAGTTTTCCCTCTCTGTCTTGGCCAATTTATTTCTCTTTCATATATTTTAGTGATTTGGCCCTCATTCATTTTTTCTATATCATCCATTCATTCTTAATTCTATTTTTTTTCTTTTCTACCCTATTTAAGTACTCCATTCCAACTGTATTCGGCTGTTTTTTAATCCTGTAATTTATTTCCAAATAACACAGTGGGCCAAAGATATCTTTTATATAGCTATTTTCCTATTTAACAAATAGGATAAAATAAATTGATCAACTTGCTGTATATCTTTTCATAATTTTAGATAAAATGCAATTCTTCATTTCTGCTGAATATCAGAGATTCAATACATTTTCAGATTCATAATCCTTCTTGCATCATACAATATATCCAATATTCTCTGCAAATCATTTTAATTATCAGCCAATATATTACATAATGTATATGAAAGTACATAAGTATGCAGTCATTCATGGTCTTATCCATTACAAACATTTCTTATACATTCATCTATAAATACATTGAAAACCAAGATAATATAAGATACTCTTGTCTTATTCTGTCTTCAGTAGTGAACCATTATTAAGCATTTTGTTTGATAAATTCTTTACTTGCCTCATGCACTGCCCTTACTGGGATCAACAACTAATCTTCAGTTATTCATGCAAACATTCCATATGTCAAGCCTAATTCACATTATTATACCCTGTCTCAAAATCAACGAATATACATTAAATTTCTCACATTTATATTTTTCTACCAAAGAGTAAAAATCTGTTCTGCACATCCCTGCCCACCTAAGGCCACACTGCAATTCCGAAATCTTACTCACTGTCATCTCTCATATGCATTCAATAAGAATTCTGCTAAACATGTTCCAGGCACATTTAACAAACTAATCTTCCAGTGGTTTTTGCATTCACTCTTGCTGTTTTGTTTTGAGAATTAATAACTGTTCTTCCTCTCTTTTCGTATCTTTAAAATGATCGCACAGTGACTCTATAAGCAAGCAACTTCTATGTTACATTTGTTCAGATACACTATCTACTCCTGCACCTGCAAAATGGAAAGGATAACTTTTTCACACTGCAGAGTGTACTCCATATTAAATCATCTGTAAGAATAAATAATGCATAAGGTTCATGATAATATCAGGGGTATTACTACCCTGATTATTATTACTAATTCTCTCTCTATCCCCATCAACAACATGGGTCATAACTATTTCTTCCATGCTAACACATATCTTGAAGTGAAAAAGTTGCATCCTTTAATATTACATACTGATCCTTGTTAATGTTGTTTAGGTGGAAGTACAAAGTAAAGTAACTGTTAATGTTACTATTTCTATTTGCCTTTGACTGCAAAAAATCTATCAAGTTATTTTCTTAAGACTTTGGAAGTATAAAATAGTAAGCTCAATAAATGTGCAACTTTAGTTTACATGTTACTTTGACAGAAACTGAGCTCTTTGCTGGTTCTCTGTTGGCTATTACAGTCATAATGACAAGATCTTTAAAAGTAAAATTAATGTTATTATATATACCGTGTTTCCCTCGAAATAAGTGCTTGGCCTTATTTTCAGGGACGTCTTATTATTTTTGAGGTACAGGAAGCGGCGAGCGTGGTCACCTCATGGCTGCTACTGTGTTGCAATATTTTTGGGAAGGGCTTATTTTTGGAGGAGGGCTTATTTTAGTGCAGGCACTCAAAAGCCCAATTGGGGTTATTATCTGGGGAGGTCTTATTTTCGGGAAAACAGGATACATAAATTACATTTTAAAATAAAAGCAGGGGAAAATTATGCTTTCCTTAAATTATATGTTAAATGTTTTGCTCAGATGGTTTTTTTCATGTTTTATTTAACTCATGTTTCAGGACAGGTGCAATTCATATCGGAGACCGAATCTTAGCAATAAATAGTAACAGTCTGAAAGGGAAACCTTTGAGTGAAGCCATTCATTTGTTACAGATGGCAGGAGAGACAGTGACCTTGAAAATAAAGAAGCAGACAGATGGTGAGTGTGCCAGGTATTCCATGGATGCCTTTTCTGCCCTATCAGGAATGTGTTGTGCATATATTTATGAAAGTGACATTTGCCTGTTAGATATATAGGACTGTAGAAATAAATCCATATTATATAAAAATAGAGGTGTAGTGATTTTTTAAAAAAGTATTTATTGTAAAAGACAGCAAAAGCAATGAGACTGAGTTGCCCCAAAGCTAATCCCGTTTATTGTTTATAATTTTTGTGTAATACTCAACATTAGAAAGCAGTGGTCCTGCTCATTTGGATACCTGGTTAGTTTTCAATAAAAATGTTTCCTGAAGAACATGAGAGAAAAGAAAAAGGTACAATGATGGAATAAGGTTAAGGGCACCTAAATATGCAATGCATGTTCAACCTAGAAAGAAGTAGAAAAAAGTACAAGAATGAGTTATTCTTTTAAGACTTGTTTAAAAAAAAAGAAAGTGGGGTCCTTTTGGGGGAACTGCAGAAGGCCCTGTCCCCCAGAAAGCACACAAAAGTTGGGAGTATCTAATTGCCCAGAACCTCAATCTGTCTACTGGGCCCAAAATTCACAATAAAGTTAATAAAGATCTGCCTTTTCCAGTATTTACTAAATTATAAAACAATGAATAATAAGGGAAAGCTTGAAGATTCACCCCATTAAGGCTAGAATATATAAAATAGTTCAACTGTTTATTTACAAGCTGTAAGAACTAGTAACAGGATATCAGTCAGTAAAGAATATGGGAAAATGTTTTTGATTAATAAATTGATCTAAAATAATGAACTTGCTTCTTGCTACCTACATCCTCAATATTTATCTAATACACTTGTATTTACTAACTTTCCGAACTGTCTCAACAGATATTTGAACATATTGCTTGCACTGATTTCACCCATCATTCTATATTATTTTGCTTGCATTTTCTAAAAGCAAAAGCCTCTACTAACAAGAATAAATACAGTTAAACTAGTAATAGCTTAGAAGTATCTGGGACTCAAGGAGGATTTGTAGTTCATTCAATGTTCCCACTGACTTTTTGTAATGTGTATTTTGTAGATTTGTTATTCCACAAACTTAATATCCAATCATCAATTATTATCTAGTAGTGCTAGGCATCTCAATGTATTCATCATGCTACACTACCTTTTGGCTTTATGAAATGTTGCTTTTGATACACAAATAATAATTATAGATATTAGTTATGATTTATTGTGAGCTCTAAAAACATTTGTTGTTGATTAAAATAGGTAGAATAATAAGTGTGTTTCTGGGTAGCTGCTGCAGATGCACACATATATATTCACACACATCAGAGGGGGGTTGTTCCCGGTTTGGCCCAGATAGGGTGACCCGGTAGTGGCGGTGGCAGGAAGCTCCACCAACCCACCCAGTCATGCGAACACAAGTGAACCGGTAATACCAGGATTTGCAATCCACCTCTGACACACACACACACACACACACACACACAAAGATTTTCAAAAATTAATACGTGGAAAGGAGGGGCCATATAAACATTTCAGTAACACTTCTAAAAATGAAATAATATAGTTGTTCTGTCCTTAGCAATGTATGTCCTTCCCTTTTTAAAAATGCTTGCTTTTCTAATAGAATTGGCTACTGCAGACTAAGCTGCAGGATCAACCAATATGGAAACAATTTCTTTCTGTATTATATTTCCTCTTTGTACAATACAAAGAAAATAAGACTGTTCAAAGCATTTGAAAAAGGTTCCTTGCCATGCACAGCGGCCAAAAAAGTACTTGGAACACTGAAGCAGCTAAGGGCTTTAGAAAACTACCATAGCTACTTTAAAAACTGCTTCTGGCCAACTCCCCATGGTTCTTCCCATCAAAGCAAAGTGGCTGGCCATGCATATACTGGTATCTGTGGAGACTGTTGACAGAAACTCTGAAGCCACTGCACAAGCCTTGCTAAAGATCCAGCTGCTTTAGTAGTTCCAAAAGAGTTGGTTTTCTTGTGCTCCCAAGTAGTGTGATATATCTTATTTGGATGTGTTACACAACTCTTTTAGATCCTTGACTCCCATCAAGCCAACTGTGAGTCATAAGGGGAGAGGGCCTTTCCGTGGTTCCATAGAGACAATTAATGTGGGAGAGAGTCTGTTTGTCTGTTTTCTATTGGAAAAAAATGGTTTTCTATGCACTTAAGATGAATGTACATTTAAATTTATAATGAATGTATAATACGTCTTCCTTTCTATCAGCATCAAGTCCCAATAAATTTTCTGCCTCTGGTCATACAAATGAATTAAGTGATGCTGAAGATGATACCGCCACCACACAAAAACCAGGCAAGCTGTCTGAAATTTATTCCACAACAGTCCCAAGTGTGGACAGTGCTGTAGAATCATGGGATGGCTCTGGAATGGATAACAGTTATGGAAGTCAAGGTAGGGATCATGTGTTTATTCTGATGTACTTAGTATGGGAACATCCAGGAGTGAGGCAGTGTAAGCCTATTAAACCTCTTGTTATGTTTGAGAGGCAAACTCACCTTTTAACTGTCTTGTGGAAATCTCGTTAAAACTGCAGTTTCAATGTGCTAATTCTTGCATTCAGCTAACCTTGATTTCATGTTACTGTGACAGGTTTTAAACATATATCAATATACAAAGAGCCATCTGCTGGTTTTACTAATGTTTCAGTGACTAGCTCATAGCTCACTATAGCTAAACAGGTTTATCCTTCAAGCTTAGATTAATTATAAGATCCAGAACTCATTGAAGGTACTCATTGATATGAACATCAGAGGCCCATTCATTGTTCTTTTTTAACCTGACTAGCAAAGATTTATTGTAAACTGCCAAAGGGGAGCATTTAAAAAATCATTCCTTTGTTGCCCTTTTATTTCTCCTTCATCCTTTTGACATTAAGATATCAAGTGGTTTTCTAATTAAGAACAGTTTTCAACAGCAGCAAGATTCTTTTAAAAGAAGTTTATACTTAGCATTTAGGATTTAATTATTATTTTAACCATTGTCATTTAAATCTTGAACATAATTTTGAAACAGAGAAATGCAGAATTTAAAAGTCTTGGTTTGAAAATGTACAAATATTGTAATCATTTAGATGGAAAATCAAACCACAGTTTTATAAAGTGACTTTAAAGTATATTAAGATAACAAATGTCAAAAGATTGGTTTTTTCGGGGGGGAATCACTGCTTTTTAGCTTCACATATTTCTTTTCATTATTTCTTAAAGCAGCATCAAAATGAGCTGTTCCTTATAAACTGAATGTCTAATTTTTTTTTAGGCCAAATCCCCCATTTTTTATATTAATATAAATTAATAATATATATATAATATATATTAATAAATTTCCTTTTTTTTTACTTGGGTAGAAATCATATCGCTTTTTAAAAACATGTTTATTGGTGTAATTTACAAATACAGAGCCATGGTGGTGTAGTGGTTAGAATGCAGAATTGCAGGCTAATTCAGCAGTTCTATCCTCACCAGCTCAGCCTTCCATTCTTCCAAGGTCGGTAAAATGAGGACCCAGATTGTTGGGGGTAATATGCTGACTCTGTAAACCCCTTAGAGAGGGCTGTAAAGCACTGTGAAGCGGTATATAAGTCTAAGTGCTATGTTTAAACAAATTTAATTTAATAACATTATTACTGATAATCTAATAAAAGATAGGGTCTGTCTTCCAGATATATTTAATTTTTAAGTATGTAATTTGTAAATTAATATAGCAGTACCTATCTAAAAACACTGAGATTATAGTTCCAATTATATATGTATAAACAATATGAAATATAATTTATAATATAGGTAGTCCTTCGGTTATGATGACAACTGGGACTGGGATTGCCATTGCTAAGCAATGCCGTTATAAAGTGAGATATCATGTGACTTCATCACTTAGCAATGATAATCCATGTGGTCACCATTGCTTTTGTAGCTCCAAGGCATGCAGATTATTAAGTAGGAAGCAGCAAGAGTCCCAGGTAAGAAGCAGAGGGTGCTGTGGGGGGGTGGGGAATGTTGAGGGAGATGAGAGAAGCTTTCCTCCAGGAAGGCTGGAGAAAAGACAGCGCAATGCTATACAAGCACAGGGATGCCAGGGAAAGAAGGCTTCCCATGAGTACAGCGGGCCCAGGAGACTTACCATTGTGACTTGCAACCTTCCCTGCCAGCTTTGGCTTTGCTTGGGGATCCAGCAGGGAAGTTAGCAAATGGAGACCCTATGACCATAGGGCACTGTAACCATTGTAAAGTGTGAGCCTCATAATCACATGATCATGAGGATGGTGGGATAGCCAGAAATTTGAGGACTGGGCATAGGTATCACATGTTCACAACTCTGAACAGTCACTGAACAAGTGATATGTAAGCAAGGTCTACCTTTATATATACAGAAAAAATATCGATTTGATCAGAAATAATTAAAAGCCTTATATTTAAAGGATTTGAACTTGGTGCCAGGAAAATAGCAGGAACATTTCTGAATATGATACAATATATAACCCTCATGCTGAACATCATCCAGCCAATCATTCACACTTCTAGGAATAGAAATGTAATAAAATGTGAGTCTAATGAGTGAATAGGAATAGCAGGAGCAATACAATAACAAAGAACTTGGAAACAACAGAAAAAAGAAGTTACTTGGGGAATGAACGCTGTACTAGAACAATCAGACTAAGTACCATAAACTATACTGTATACTGTATTTATTTCAAGCTACCTAGAACTAAAGAAATAAAGTATATGTCTCTGACTATTCTATACGGTAATAAAACTCATAAATAAATCAAGATAGACAATCCTCAATCTGTTTGTGTAGTACCTTGAAATTGCAAGATAGATTACTGTTGGCTGGATAATCTTTTCCTTTAAAAAAAAATAAGGTGAAATTTGAGTAAATGGCTTTTAAGAGGCAAACCTCTCCCATCCTTAAACCACTAGCACCATCAGGACTTAAAATTATATTTTCGGCCATTCCAGAAGGGTTTTCTAAGTATAGAAACTGAGGTGATTTGCTTGCAGAGATTTTCCATGAAGGGAAGGGAAGGTCCCCACCACTTCTGGTAATATTGCCAGTCACTTTCCTTCTGGTGGAGTGGATTGTGGTTACTATAAAACAGTGGTCTCCAACCTTGGCAACTTTAAGACTTGTGGACTTCAATTCCCAGAGTTCTCAGCAAAGCTGGCTGAGGAACTCTGGGAATTGAAGTCCACAGGTCTTAAAGTTGCCAAGGTTGGAGACCACTGCTATAAAAGTTCCCCATAAATTCTATATGATGAATAGATTTCAAATAGCATTGATTTCTCAGTAGTATTGTGTTCAACATGCAGAAATGAGAGCAATCAACATAGCCTTAAATGGAAACTTATCATGCTGTTCATAGTAGGATTGTGTATAACATAATTTCGATTGCCCTTCCAAGAGAGTTCAGGCATATAACTACGTTAATTCTAGCTGATACTTATAATCCACATATATTTGATACAATAAATAGCTTAAATCATACAATGGTTGGAAGAATAATTTGACATTACATTTTTTTTATTTTACATAGTCCACTGTAATAAACATATGGTTACTTTTATAGGTCCCAATTATCAGGCTTCAGGATACAACTTCAATACCTTTGAATGGAGAAGTCCAAAACAAAAGGGTAGTTTATCTCCTTTGAATAGGCCCCGAATCAACTCCTTCCATGATACAGGGTTAAGTGATGATGATTGGGATAAACCAGTAGCAAGTAGGTAAGTACTGTGCTACATACTGAATTATTATATATAGTAGCACGTTCTTGTATTGATGTCCTTTTTAGGACTGTTCAAAACTTCACATATGGAAGCATGTAGATGCTTTTGAGTAGGGACTTGTTTGCAACTCTAGAAGAGGTACATCCACTTCAAAGAGTTTCAGGCAGATGTAGTATTTGCCTTCCCCCAAAGCCCTTTTTTTGTCTTTCAAACTAAAGTACTGAACAGACCTATCACAGATTGCCAAGGACTTCAAAATGCTCAGTTGCCAATTTGTCCTCAAGTTGCTGAGATATATTGACAATTCATGCTATATGAGATTAGTAATATTCAAGACATGTGGTAAGGCTGACAACAAGCCATGTGCAGTTGGTGAGCCTTTGTGTGTAATAGTATAGGTCATTAACTGTTGATACTAATTCAAAACTGAAAGAGCACTGGGTATTGAAGAAAGTTTTAGTTTCCATTTCCTATCTCCTATCTTCATTATGTTTAGAAGAAGACAATACAATAGAGCTGGAAGGGACCTTGGAGGTCTTCTAGTCCAGCCCCCTGCTCAAGCAGGAGAACCTATACCATTGCAGATAAATGACTGTCTAGTTGTCTCTTCTTAAAAACATCCAATGATGGAGCGCCCATGATTTCTGAAGGCAAGCTGTTCCACTGGTTAATTGTCTTCACTGTTAGGAAGTTTCTCCTTAATTCCACGTTGCTTCTCTCTTTGCTTAGTCACCAAGCATTGTTTTATGTCCTGCTCTCTGGTGCTTTGTAGAATCATTTGACCACCGCTTTGTGGCAGCCCCTCAAATGCCAGATGGCTCATTCATCCTTCTGTACTTAGGAAGTTTCATTGTGGTTTCCACATAAATCAGTAAATATGATACTGTGAAGAAGGGACACACAGAGACAATTAAAAAATATGGCTGCTTTGACATCAGTGCTACAATTTTCTAAGGGGTAACTTTTTGATGTGGTCTCAAATTTTAAATGTTAGCAGTGATAGTATATCACTTTTTAGACATTTATCATCATCATCTAAAAGTTTAATTAACCTTATTTAGACACCTGATTTGGACAAATTTGTATTCAAGCTTTGACTTCTGTTTTGTTAAGATAAATACATGAGGCTCTCTTGAACCAGTATTCCCATTATGATAGCAGAGCCATATCTTCAAATATGAATCTGTTCCATTTATATATCAACGTATGTGGCCTTTAAGTTGGTATTGACTCCTGGTTACTATATGGATAGGTCTGTGCAGTTTTCTTGGCAAGATTTTCCAAAAGTGATTTTCCTGTGCCTTCTTCCTAGGACTATGAGAGAGTAACATAGACCAAAGTCATTCAGCTGCTTTCATACCTAAAGCAGCATTAAAACTTATGATCTCCTGGTTTCTACCCTACTGCCTTTAACACTATACCAAAATTGCTGACTATATGACAGTGGCAGAAGGATTTACGATTCAAGGTCCTGAACCAACCCCAATATCTAACATTTTGTAATGCAGCCTCTTCCACCAGGAAATTTTCTCCTTGCTAGGTTACTTCTACTTTTAACTGAAAAATAAGCCCAGCTGAGGAAAAAAATATCAAGAGTGATTTAGTGCTTCTGCCCATATGAGTTGGCTGTTTAGCCATAGATTAGATATAGTTTAGGTCTATGTAAAAAGATTTCTGTGTTCTAAATGTCATCTTTTTTAATACATATTCAAAATTCTATTTGATACTTCTGCTCTTTCCCCACTCCCTATATTGCTTTAACTTTTAAATAGATATCATTAATTTCTCCATTATAGACTAATCAGTATAGTTATATAGGAAATGTTGATATTAATAATAGATTAACGAACTATAAGAACTGTACTTTTTGTAATTTTGGGATTAGTGTATAATTTCTGCTGGTGATGACAAACTCTGTCAGATCCAAACTATTGACAATAGAAGTAAACCAGGCATTTACTAGCTAATCCTGGCATTTATTCCAATGCCATTACCAAGTAGATATGTATTATATCATGTGTATACCAGTCTAACCCACTAGATGTTAACCAGCCTACTTACATACACTCATAAAAACAAATATATAATTAAGTTCAAATAGCAAAATTAAAAACAAGTTCAAAAGGCATGCATTGCAATTTCCATACCTTACCTTTGGCATCTAACTAGAAAAGATCAAAATCATCCTCTTCATCTAAAATGTTCTGCAATTGAAATCCAATCACTTTCTCTAAAATCTTCCTTAAAAAAGGAGGACTGGAGAGTAGGCTGGAATAGTCCAACACTATAGGAGCAAGTGATATCTTCTTCAGAAGGTAAGAAACCAATGTGTCTAAGACAGAAGATACTATCCCGTCACTCTTCACATCACTAGGTTACCATCTCAAATCTAATTATATTCATATCCTCAGCTAACTGAAGGACAAATGGAGCATAGAACTAGCCTACAGGTGAAGGAAATCATGCTACAAGGAACCGTGTTTACATTCTGAACAATTGCAAATTGAAATGAAATAAATCCCAAATATGTTTACAAGATGATGGCCGTCCCCCTAGAATACGTTCCTGCCTAATGGAGTTCAATTTTGAGCCCATTTTTTTATTCTACTTTTATGCTGCTGATTCCTAAAGAGCCCCCGAACAGCTAATAGTGTCAACATAGAATAAAACAACAAACTCCAATCTTAAATGCATATAAAGAGTGGAAAAATAAAAAAATATATTTTTGAAGTAGATAATATATGTATCATTGGACACTACATCATCTTCCTGTGCCAGGCAGAACAGGTGAGTCTTCAATATTTTCCTAAAGCCTAAGAGAGACAATGTTGATTAGCACTCTGTCCAGAAGGCTTCCAAAGAATAGGAGTAGCTAGTGAAAATGTCAATTTCTGAGGCCATACCATGTGACAGTTCCATATAGACAAAACCTAGATGGAGGGTAACCATATACATTGTTAGTTGAACTCTGTGTAGGGCTTTAAAGGTGGCAACCAGCCCTGTAAATCACAGTGGGAAGGTGACTGACAAGGTCTTAGATTCACTCATCACCACTCAGATTGCTACTTTCTGCATTAGGTGCAATTTTCAAATGCTCTTTTAAGGGCAGTTCCTTATAATAACAACAACAGGAAGTGTCAAGGAGATGAATGACTCTGCACAGGGCTTCTGGTCCAGAATGATCATAATTGAGACACAAGATATAGCCATACAAAGGTGTTCTAGCTAGGATGCTAGGAGAAAGCTCATATGCAGACATCCATACTCCCCATGGCTAATAGAAGACCAATAGAATTTACCAGAGTTTATCCATGAACCCAAAGCAACACAAATTCAGAGGGATTCCATTGGAGTCTGTTCTTCTCCATCAAGAACCTGATAACTTCCAGGCTTTGGATCAGCACTTCTAGCATAGCATTTCTGCCCATTATTAAGATGTAAAGCCTAATACTATTGGAATACCAATGGAATGAAACATGTTAAAAACAAGAAAAAGGTTAAGGAAATGATTGGTCCATTGCTGGGAGAAAGTGGCAAGAAGGTGACAAGCAACAGGGAAAAAGCAGAACTGCTTAACTCGTTTATCGCACCTGCCTTTACACAAAGGGAAAAAACAGTCCAACCTATCAAAACAGTACCGTAAAAAACAGATTAGGAACACAAGTTAAAATAGGGAAGAAAATGGTAAGTGAGCATCTGTCCACCCTAGATGAGTTTAAATCACCAGGACCAGATGAGTTACACCCCAAGATTCTGAAGAAACTGTCAGATGTAATCTCAGAACCACTGAACTATATTTTTCCAAGATCCTGAAGCACTAGGGAACTATCAGAAGACTGGAAAAGAGCTGATATACTGTAGTTCCAATCTTCAAAAAAGGGGAAAAAATAGGTGCAGGAAACTTCAGACCTATCAGGAAACACCTAGAGGCAAACAAAGTAATAACCAAAAGCCAACATGAGTTTGTCAAAAACAGGTCATGCCAGACAAATCTTATTGCATTATTTGACAAAGTGACAAAATTAGTGGACCAGAGGAATGCTGTGGATATAATTTACTTGGACTTCAGTAAGGCATTTGATAACATAGACCACAACCTACTACATGATAAGACAGAAAAATGTGGGTTAGACCACATCATCATCAGATGGATTCGTAACTGACTGACCAAACACACTCAACACTCCATGGATCTACACGGAGGGAAGTATGCAGTGAGGTACTCCAGGCTCTGTTTTAGGCCCAGTACTCTTCAACATCTTCATCAATGATTTGGAGGATCAAATTTGCAGATGACACCAAACTGGCAGGAATAGCCAACACTCCAAAAAATAGGCTTAAGATACAGAATGATCTTGACAGACTTGAACATTGGGTGCTATCTAACAAAATAAAATCCAACAGTGAATAAAGTAAGGTTCTACACTTACGCAAGAAAACTAAAATGCATAGCTACAGTATAGGTGGTATCTTGAGCCAAGGTGGCGCAGTGGTTAAATGCAGCACTGCAGGCTACTGCTAGATCAGCAGGTCAGCGGTTCAAATCTCACCGGCTCAGGGTTG